AAATAAAGATTAATAGCTTTAGAGTAAATACCCGGGGGTGGAATTCCTAGATCGTGATGCAAGGTTACCTTTAAAGAAGCTGCTAACCCTTTTTCCAGCTTGGCTAACAGTGGTAAGTGTGTGTTCCTGTCACTCTGTGTCCTTGCCAGGACTTGGCCTTGTGGATTTTCCAGAAGGCTATTAATTCTAATAGTCAGGGGCACTGTGGTGTTGACTTGCCTTCCCTGATGGTTGGTGCCGGTGAGCACCTGTTCATAGCTAATTTACCATCCATAGGTCCTCTTGGGTAAAGTGTCTGCTAAAACATTTTGCCCATTTTTTACTTTCTTACTGTTTATTTTTAAAAATTATTATTTGAAGTTGTGGTCTTACTGCTGAGTATTAAGAATGTATCATGTACTGTGAACACTAGTCTGGTAATATGTTCTGTCTGTAGTTGGCCTTTCTGTTTCTTTGAGTTTCCTTTATACAGCAAGATTTTTTAATTTTTATAATGTTCTGCTAATTTTTCTTCATGCTTTCGATGTCATATCTAAGAAGTATCTAACTCGTGGTCATAGAGATTTTCTTCTACAAGTCTTACAGTTTTATAAAATCTACATACACGTCTACGATTCATCTCTACTTTTTGTTTATATGGTGTGAGGCTTAGAGGTTCTTTTTGCAGATCATTGTGCAATTGCTCAAATAACATTTTATTAAAGACTTTCCTTTCTCCAAGAGATTGCTTTTTTTGCATCTGTATTTCCCCAAATTGTACCTTTGTCAGAATCAGTTGGCCGTGCTTTGTGGATCGTTTCTGGATTCCCTGCTCTGTCCTGTTCTGTGTGTGTCCACCACCTGATCTTGATTTCCATAGCTTTAGAGTTTATCTTAGAACTGGATGGCATGCATCCTCCAGCTTAGTTTTGTGTTGGCAGAATTGTTTTGACTAGTCTAGCTTCTTTGCCTTTTCTGAGACTGTCTATACCCACATAATATCCTACAAATCAAAAACTATAGCAAGATTTCTTCTCACTCCAATCAGAACGGCAATTACACGTCAATGTGCTTAGTTGTGCAATTCACAATAGCCAAGTAATGGAACCAGCCCAGGTGCTCTCCAACAGAAAAACAGATAAAGAAAATGTGGAATGTAGACGCAATGGAGTTCTACACAGCCATAAATAAGAATGAGATTATGGCATAAATGGATGAAACTGGAGAATATCAGGCCAAGTGAAATAGGCCAGACCCAGAAAGTCAAAGGTTGAATGTTCTCTCTCCTGTGTGGAAGCCAGAAAGAAAAAAAACAGGAAAGGGGAACCAATCCTACGAAAAGAAAAGAGAGACCAGTGGGAATTGGGGAGGAGTGAGAAGGGACGGGAAAGGGAGAAATGGCAGAATGAAATTGACTCAAACTCTCTTTGGTACATACATGAATACACCACAGTGAGTTCCACACTTATAAACTATGAATAAACAGAAGACAGACCACAGAATAGAGGAAAGGGAACAGGGG